CTCTGTGCTTCTATGATTCTTCCTGCCACTTTCTCCTTATGCTCTCTGTGGGCTTTGGGGGACCAGGGCCCCCTGCACACCCTCCCTCCCCCAGCACACAAACCCCTTGTTCTTCAGGATGGCAGCCAGGTGACTGGTCTTGTTCCCGGGGGCAGCGCAGGCATCGATGACGTGGGAGCCAGCAGCAGGGGCAAGGAGGAAGGCAGGGAGGCAGCTGGCCTGTAACAGGACAAACACCTATGAGAGGAGCAGGCAGCGAGCCCCCCAGCCCCTCCTCGGGGCACGGCTGATGCCACAGTGTCACCAGTAGCCACAGCAACACCAGGATGAGTCCTCCACCACCCACACACCACTGGAGGCCTCCGCTCAGCTCACAGCCCTGTGTTCCTCCCAGCTGTTGGTCCCCAGCTCCTGTGGGGTGTTTTTACAGCTCAATTCAGAGCAATTCATGGGGGGGAGCCCCCAGCACTGGGCTGTGCTCACAACTGCTGCTTACACTTCAAGGGCTGCAGCAAAGCTGGCCCAAGCCCAGCCCTCAGCACCACAGAAAGGGGGTGACCCTCCACCCATGTCCGTGGTTTTCCCTTTTTTTTTGCTGCCTCACCTTATCCTGCAGGATTATGTGTCCTGAGGTGTACAGCAGGTTGTCGTGGAAGTCCGTCTGCGGAGGGAAAACCAGCAGCTCCGGGAGGTGAAGATCCAACAGGAATTTCTTCCCAGAGAGGGCTCTCAGTTCCTCCACACTGCCCACGAGGCACAGGGAGGATGAACACACAGTCCTGCTTCACCGAGCCCACCCCAGAGCCCTTCAGAGCCCAGGCAGAGAACCTCCTTTCCCCCCCCAGCCACAAAGGAAGAGTGGGGAGTGACAGAGACCCCAACCTGGACACCATGGGCACCAAGACCACCAAGCCTTAGCCCCCAGGACCTCACCCCGCACTCTTGCCACCCACCAAAGTTGCCTGAGATGGCAGAAAGAAGCACTCACCTGCCTGCCTTGCCCAGGTAGGAGTAGCCCTGGCGCTTGAAGAAGTCGATCACATCATCCACACACGTTTTCAGGGTGTTGACTCGGACGTAGCGCGGCACCTGGGAG